AAGGGTTAGAGTTTATTAGTAATAAAGACTGCATAATTGAAAAAAAGATCCTCCTAGTATTTATATAAAGACACAAATACGATATTTATATAAACGGTATTTATATAAAAACCAATATGGTTATGTTGTTAGTAATAGAGACACTTATGCAATTAACAATTTCCAATAGTTTTCGGAGGAGAAATAATATTTTTAATCCGGAACGGCGAAATCAATTGTATTTTTTTTTTAATGGCGCACACACATGGAAACCGACTGCCGTAAAAGAGGAATTTTGGCTATTTTTTATTTAATATATTTGTTTTCTATATCAATTCTGATATTTTCCGCGGCGAAAAAAAAGTCGCTCTCCTTTTTTTTTGACTTAATACGGTAGAATTTGAAATTTTATATATATATGTATGTACAAACATACAAGAATCTACATAATATGGAGGAAGTGATATCGAATTGTACATCAAACTCACATAAGTATATACATATACATATCAAGCTAATCAAAAATTCTACATGTAATAAATTATTAGAAAGAAGAGATACTAAAGTAATTAAAGATGAATCACCGTTATTTATTCATAGTTAATATTTAAAACTTCTCATAAACTCAGTATAGGAAACATAAGAGTTACTACTAACTACTACTAACATATGAGTGGCATACACTTGATATTTCGAAAAACGGACTTGTGTAAAAGATGCGTAATTTTTTAAAAAGACTAAAGCTGCCAAAAAACTATTTTTAAGAAAAATGTCACTTAACTCCTTATTTTTCTAACCCCTTAATTTATTTTTAACATATTTTATAACTTTTTACCTTTTAAAGAATATTTCATTTATGCTTTCAAATTAATGAATTTATAACTGAATTTGTAACTCATTCGTACATATCATGACTCTATATGAATGACTCTATACCATATACTGATGAATTTTTTTTGAACTTTATTAATTAAGCAACCCTATTACTCCTTCCTTATGTAACCATAACAACAAAATAACAACCATTTAAAGCTTTGCTAAAAAAGTTTGAAATTGTAAATTTTTCAGTTAGCGAATTAAAAAAAATTTTTTTGTTAATCAAAAAAATTAAATTAAAATTCAAAATAATAATAATAATAATAACTTAATAAGTTAAAAATAGTTAAAAATTAATAATACAAAAAAGTATTTTAGTGAATTTTGTGAATTTTGTGCTTTTAAAAAAAAAACAGCAACATTTTCAAAAGGAATTCAGGAAAACATTTGAAAAAACAAAAAACATCTATAAAGTAAGTAATACTTTAAATTATACTAATTTAATTAAAATAAAGTAAAATTTCATTTTAAAAATATTAAATTTTACAAATAAAAAAAAAAAAATAATTTCTAATTACTCTCCATCTTTAAATTTAATGATCTACAGGTGTATACTCTAGGAAATGTATGAGTATAAAATTTATACCTATATGAGTATAAAATTTATATTCACGCAATATTCCTTATTTATACAGATCATTGAGTAGATCATTATAGGATTAAATAGAGTAATTATAATACATATTATACATACTGATAACATCAATCATATACATAAATATACACATATTAATTATTGACTTCGACATTAATACATACATGCCAATACATAATTCTTTCTTTCCTTTACCAAACTCAAATCGCACATTTGCAAAAACAATAACATAATATACACTCGAGTATACATACTCATTAATATATAAAGCTTCTCTGTAACAAAATAATACAGAAAATTATGCCGTTATTTTTCCCAATGTGCGATATTTTTATTTTTCTTTTCAACTTTTTATTAAAAAGAAACAACAATTTTCAAATTGTAAAAATTATTCAAAAATTTGTTAGCATATTAATACAGCTTTCCAAAAAAGCACATTTCACCTATCTTTATATAATCTCATCTAATTATGTACATTTATTTCTTTCAGAATGAGTAAACTCCAAGAAAGTGATGTAAGTATTTCTTAAATTATAAATTTTAATTTATTTAACATTTACTTTCAGTTTTGTGATTTATACATAAAAAAAAACAAAAGATCCTTAATGTGGAAGTATGTGGGGCAAAAGAAAGGTGACCCCATGGAAGATATATATTTTTGCTTGCTGTGCGTGAGAGAAAACAAGAAAAAATGCTGGAGAAAAAGTGGTAACAGGAACTCTTGCCTCAAAAAACATTTGCTAACAGCACATAATATTAATTTAAATGTTGTTGATGCCTCCACATTTAACGACACAATCGAAGAAGATTTGGGCGAATTTGCCAATGTGCTTCCTAATTCTCCAACTCTTTCGTAAGTTCTCAATTTTTTTGAATATTTTAAAAACAAATTAAATAATTTTATAAATTTGTATACCGCTTAAGACCCCATTACCCAAATACTCCTGAAATGCCACGAAAAATAAACTTAAGTAAGACTCCCTCACCAAAAGTGGCACAGATTGTTCCAGTGCCACAAACGCCAGAACAACTCCCACAACAATATGAAAAGAGGCAAGTCCACTCCTTAGCGCCAATATCGATTGAAAGCTCACGAAGTAAAGAGGATAAAATATTAAGAATCAAAAAATTCGGAGAGTACATGGTCGAGACAATGATTGCGAAAGATGTAAGTACACTATAATGTAAATATTATTTTAGAAAAAAAAAATTAATTCAATATAATTCGTTTTGCAGATACCTGAGGCAAAACAAATAAAATTAGAATGTTCAATTTTGAAACAAATTGCAGAAATTAGAAAAAAAAAAAGAAAATGATTTTTTGCTTGACAGGTTCGAGTAGCTTCCATACAAGTCTAAAAGCTTATTTTAAATATTTGGAAAAATAATAAAGTCAAATTCATGAGACTTGGCAGTCGTGTGTCCAATTATAGGTCAAACATATTTCTAAAGTTTTGGTGGGATTGCTTGACAGGTTCGAGTAGATCCCATACAAGTCTAAAAGCTTATTCTTAATATTTGGAAAAATAATAAAGTCAGATTCATGAAACTTGGCAGTTGTGTGTCCGATTATAGATCAGATATATTTGTGAAGTTTTGATGGAATTGCTTGACAGGTTTAGGTACTTGCCATACAACCCCAAAAGCTTATTTTAAATATTTGGAAAAATAATAAAGTCAAATTCATGAGACTTCGCAGTCGTGTGTCCAATTATGGGTCAGACATATTTCTAAAGTTTTGGTGCGATTGCTTGACAGGTTCGAGTAGCTCCCATACAAGTCTAAAAGCTTATTCTTAATATTTGGAAAAATAATAAAGTCAGATTCATGAAACTTGGCAGTCATGTGTCCAATTATGGGTCAGACATATTTCTGAAGTTGTGGTGGAATTTCTTAACAGGTTCGAGTAGATCCCATACAAGTCTAAAAGCTTATTCTTAATATTTGGAAAAATAATAAAGTCAGATTCATGAAACTTGGCAGTTGTGTGTCCGATTATAGATCAGATATATTTGTGAAGTTTTGATGGAATTGCTTGACAGGTTTAGGTACTTACCATACAACTCCAAAAGCTAATTTTAAATATTTTGAAAAATTATAAGGTCAGATTGATGAAACTTGGCAGTCGGATGTCCAATTATAGGTCAGACATGTCCGTGAAGTTTCTATAGAATGATCTCACAGGTTCGAGTAATTGCTACACAATAACGAAAGGTGCAGGGTATAATTCAATCGGTTTATACCGACTGAAACGTTTTTACTTGTTTTTGACTTAATACGGTAGAATTTGAGAAAGGGCAGAGAAAATTTTATATATATGTACAAACATACAAAATCTACATAATATGGAGGAAGTGATATCGAATGGTACATCAAACTCACATAAGTATATATGTACATATATCAAGCTAATCAAAAATTCTACATGTAATAAATTATTAGAAAGAAGAGATACTAAAGTAATTAAAGATGAATCACCGTTATTTATTCATAGTTAATATTTAAAACTTCTCATAAACTCAGTATAGGAAACATAAGAGTTACTACTAACTACTACTAACATATGAGTGGCATACACTTGATATTTCGAAAAACGGACTTGTGTAAAAGATGCGTAATTTTTTAAAAAGACTAAAGCTGCCAAAAAACTATTTTTAAGAAAAATGTCACTTAACTCCTTATTTTTCTAACCCCTTAATTTATTTTTAACATATTTTATAACTTTTTACCTTTTAAAGAATATTTCATTTATGCTTTCAAATTAATGAATTTATAACTGAATTTGTAACTCATTCGTACATATCATGACTCTATATGAATGACTCTATACCATATACTGATGAATTTTTTTTGAACTTTATTAATTAAGCAACCCTATTACTCCTTCCTTATGTAACCATAACAACAAAATAACAACCATTTAAAGCTTTGCTAAAAAAGTTTGAAATTGTAAATTTTTCAGTTAGCGAATTAAAAAAAATTTTTTTGTTAATCAAAAAAATTAAATTAAAATTCAAAATAATAATAATAATAATAACTTAATAAGTTAAAAATAGTTAAAAATTAATAATACAAAAAAGTATTTTAGTGAATTTTGTGAATTTTGTGCTTTTAAAAAAAAAACAGCAACATTTTCAAAAGGAATTCAGGAAAACATTTGAAAAAACAAAAAACATCTATAAAGTAAGTAATACTTTAAATTATACTAATTTAATTAAAATAAAGTAAAATTTCATTTTAAAAATATTAAATTTTACAAATAAAAAAAAAAAAATAATTTCTAATTACTCTCCATCTTTAAATTTAATGATCTACAGGTGTATACTCTAGGAAATGTATGAGTATAAAATTTATACCTATATGAGTATAAAATTTATATTCACGCAATATTCCTTATTTATACAGATCATTGAGTAGATCATTATAGGATTAAATAGAGTAATTATAATACATATTATACATACTGATAACATCAATCATATACATAAATATACACATATTAATTATTGACTTCGACATTAATACATACATGCCAATACATAATTCTTTCTTTCCTTTACCAAACTCAAATCGCACATTTGCAAAAACAATAACATAATATACACTCGAGTATACATACTCATTAATATATAAAGCTTCTCTGTAACAAAATAATACAGAAAATTATGCCGTTATTTTTCCCAATGTGCGATATTTTTATTTTTCTTTTCAACTTTTTATTAAAAAGAAACAACAATTTTCAAATTGTAAAAATTATTCAAAAATTTGTTAGCATATTAATACAGCTTTCCAAAAAAGCACATTTCACCTATCTTTATATAATCTCATCTAATTATGTACATTTATTTCTTTCAGAATGAGTAAACTCCAAGAAAGTGATGTAAGTATTTCTTAAATTATAAATTTTAATTTATTTAACATTTACTTTCAGTTTTGTGATTTATACATAAAAAAAAACAAAAGATCCTTAATGTGGAAGTATGTGGGGCAAAAGAAAGGTGACCCCATGGAAGATATATATTTTTGCTTGCTGTGCGTGAGAGAAAACAAGAAAAAATGCTGGAGAAAAAGTGGTAACAGGAACTCTTGCCTCAAAAAACATTTGCTAACAGCACATAATATTAATTTAAATGTTGTTGATGCCTCCACATTTAACGACACAATCGAAGAAGATTTGGGCGAATTTGCCAATGTGCTTCTTAATTCTCCAACTCTTTCGTAAGTTCTCAATTTTTTTGAATATTTTAAAAACAAATTAAATAATTTTATAAATTTGTATACCGCTTAAGACCCCATTACCCAAATACTCCTGAAATGCCACGAAAAATAAACTTAAGTAAGACTCCCTCACCAAAAGTGGCACAGATTGTTCCAGTGCCACAAACGCCAGAACAACTCCCACAACAATATGAAAAGAGGCAAGTCCACTCCTTAGCGCCAATATCGATTGAAAGCTCACGAAGTAAAGAGGATAAAATATTAAGAATCAAAAAATTCGGAGAGTACATGGTCGAGACAATGATTGCGAAAGATGTAAGTACACTATAATGTAAATATTATTTTAGAAAAAAAAAATTAATTCAATATAATTCGTTTTGCAGATACCTGAGGCAAAACAAATAAAATTAGAATGTTCAATTTTGAAACAAATACTCCTAATAACATAGTATTAGTACCAATATTGTATGAGTGTATAGCATTAAAATGAAAAAGCCTTTTTCTTTCCTTGAAATTTCAAACTTACTAATTCATAATTTATAAAAACTGTATATGAACATACACATGTGTATGTATACATATTACTAACATTTTTGTATTCATTTAAAACTATTTGATGTGATGATTGAGTTTTTGAGTACAATAATCATATTAGTTAAATAAATTTCACTTGAATTAACTTGAATACAAAAAATTTCACTTATTTTTAATATTGTCACCTATTAAATGCATTTTATTCAATTAAAAATTATAGCCAAAGGCGAAATAATAAATAAATTAAGTTAAAAATTTTTTGCTTTCAGTTGTAAAATTTCTTTTGAATGATGTGACCTTTGTTGAAGGCTTATACAAATTTGCTCCTTCGTTTACAATGCTAAAAACAACATTTTAACTATGTGCATAGAGGTACGAGTACATTAAAATATATTTATATTTTTGTTTGCAACTTATAGTAGACATTCTTAAGTACAATCAAACAGTATCTACATGTTTTGAAAGCCTAACTAACTTTCAATTTGACTATCAAGTTTAAAACAAATTTTCTAGGGTTGTAAAATTTCACAAGGTTTTTAATTCATTCCAAAAAAATTATTTTTACAGTCGTTACTTAAATTACGGTCTAAGTTTGACTAGATCAACTAGCAGCTTGAACATTTTATACCAACATGTAAGAATATTTCTTGTCTAACTTTTTGAGCAAAATTTGCTTAAAATTATTTGAGGAATTACAATTTTGACTTAAGTACAATTAAAACGAAACCGTGTATTATAACATATTCAATTTCGGTTGGTAACTAAATAATTTCAAGATATTAATTAAATTTCATTAATTTAATTAACATTATGCATTGACATCCTAAAGTTTGTCAAATCAATTCAATTTATACTCGTTTTACTTTAATTGAATTTAAGACTAGGTAAATATGAGAAAATCAACTATTGTTAAGGGAAAAAGCAACTAAATCGTGTAAAATTATAATTGGAAAACTAATAAATAAATTATTCAAGCGTTTAAGCGCAGAAAATAATATTGTCTATAGATTTTTCAATATTGTTTTCACTTGTGGGATAAACAAAATGAAATCGATTTGTATCAATAACAAAATATAAATAAAAGATAATCGTGGCGCTTCGGAAAATTAAAACCAAAATATTTCTTACTATCTATGAGAAATTTAAAATGGCAATGAATTTTCCAATATTTCTTGGTTTACATACATTTTTTTTCTTTTGAATAATAAATTAGTATTTTATAATTTTACTAAAGTTTGGATATGTTTTAATTTCCGCTCACAAAGCTCAAAAGCAACTTATTTTTATTTATTCTTTTTAAATTATTGAGGCGATGTTGAAAATTTTGGTTGGCTATTCCAGAATATTTTTATTTCAATTTTGCATTGGCATTCACAAATCTGAATTAGATGTGCTCTATTATTTTCTATTGAGAAAATCATAAAAAAATCCTATTACTTATATTATTTAAAGATTGTTGGTTGGTATGGGCAAACATAGGTGCATGCAACTTTTTATCTTCACTTCATTTTGAAATTTTTGGTATTATAAACGTAAAAATTTATTTATTGTGCTCGTACAAAAAGCATATTAAATAAAGAGCGAAGACTAAATAATTGAATTATATTTTTTATTGTATTACCAGTTTATTTTTTTTATATCTATTGATATATATAAAAACAAATGCAATTTATCCAATAGTATTATTTTAAACAATAGCAATCTACATTAATAACAAATAAGAAAACCAGTTAACATTTAAGGAATGAACTGACAATTGATGATGACAAACGAAAGAAGTGAAAAGAAGAATGTAAATATATTTAAGAGAAAAATGGAATACAATGAATGCGCTTACATACCTGAAAATTTCATCAACAAAGAATGCATCCGATTTGGAATTACACTACATATGACAAAGAATAAAAATACGCTGTAATAATTTTAATTTGTTGCAGTGAAACCATAACTATTTTTCAAATTTTGTAAACACAGAAAGGCACTAAGTTGCTTCTCCTACCGCGGCATACTATAGTTAAACTCTAAAAAAACAAAATTGCCTTTAAAATTTGTCGTTATCTAAAATCCGTTACCTATAAATTTTTGATGACGTTTTTTTTCTAGATGGTTGTAGGAACCTGAAATTTTAGCAGCTTTTAGACAGTAATCAATAGATAGTTTATTTTGTTAGAAGAAATTTTTTTTCCAACTCCTCTTGAAATTTGTAAAATTTGAATTTTTGGCGGCTTATATTTCCGAAACCGCAAACCTTTTCAAATTTCTATAAACGCAAAACGCTGACAGTAAATTCCATGACATTAAAAAATATAATTATTTTTCTTAGCTCACCCAATTAACCCTTAAAATCGAGAATTATGTTAAGCCCTCTTTGAATTTATTTTTGTTTTATTTCAAAGACTGCATAAATCATTCATCCCAAATATATGCAATCCTAGAAATAGTTTCTTACCTATATAAATGAAAATAATTTTAATTTAGTGTGTGGTATACGTAGCCTGTATTTAAAGCAGTATTTTCACTTGTTGAAGGGAAAAGTGCTACAATACAAACCATTGGTTTGACTCAACTTTACTTGGATAAAATTTTTGACTTTCCTTTATGATATGTTAAGACCTTTGAACGGTACTTATGTTGAGATCTTATGAATCATCTTGTATTAATCAAGAGAATATTTAATAATAATTGGTTTACTACTCTATATTTGTATTTCAATATAGATATGTGCAAACTAGATGCCATATGGTATTAATTATTGAATGAATAGATTTGTTATTTTAATAGAGTTACTAATGATGTTGAATTGTCGGTCTTGTATATGATATGTGAGTACTAATTTTTAAAATAATTTGAAAGTACTACAATTAAAGTTTTCTCTCACTTTTTTTTCTAAAACTTTAAAAATTTTTCTTTTACTATATTGTTGTCGGTATATAGAATTAAAGTAATATGTGGTCAGAGTTTAAAGGAAATAGAATAATTAAGTGTTTTTTTATTTTCAATAGTTTCGCACGTTAGGATTAACATATTTTTATTGAAATATAATTATAACTTTGCAAATATGTATTTCGATGTACACATATACAATATAAATTAAATATTGGCATTGTAATAAATATATTTGCATTTAGAAGAAGTTTTGAAGAATTACGAAATTTATAACAAGCAATTCAGAGTGCATTTAATGTGGGAAAATATTGAACTGCTGGAAAAATCTTAAATATTGTTTAAATCATGTGCTCTTACACATATGGGTTCTGAGAAACAGTCTCATAAACGTGAAATTTTCAATCTTTAGTGCCATTTAAATTAATAAAAGTTATTTTTTTAATTTTTTAAAGAATCAAAAACAAAGTAAGATAAAGGCAGACTCTTCTTATATATTTCTTTTCGGTTATCAGCCGTTATGCTAATCACGTTTTAAAAGAAAAAATGTAACATTTAACAAATTTTCAATAAATTCATTACACGATCAAGTTTATTTTTATAAATTTCATAATTAAATTTTTAATACTATATAAAAATATTGCACACGTTAAACACTAAGAAATACGCCACCCATGTGCTAACTAGCGTTCAAAATTGCTAATTGCATTTTCCATTTATGTTATGCTAAAAAGTAGTATAAAAATTTTATAATACAATTTTAATTGAACTCGTACTTTCATTTTATGGCAAATTCAATTTTTTAATAAGGCGACTTCCACTTGAATGGCGTCTTGATATTTAAAATTTTTTAATTCTTTTTTTCACAATAAATATTTTAATCTTTCAATTTTTCTATTGTATACTGATTTAATGGCGAAAAAAAATGTTAATTACTTTATTTTTACGATTTTCTATTGATTAACAAATATAATGATTTTATTAATATTGATCACGAACATTAAAATGTAATTTTATCCAGACGAAAAAATTAACTTTCTGCAACTATGTTAATAAACGAAAAAAAATAGAGTTGACCTTGTCAACTCTGTGATACTGTGTGTGCCAAACTGCTATTGAAGTTGTACGGCAGCTACCAGAAAGAGCCAAGAAATTTTAACGAATTTTATCAAGAACATCGGCTTTAATAGTTTCTGAGATATAGTCAAATAACTTTTGAAGTTGTATGGCAGGTACCAGAAGGAGCCAAGTTATTTCAAAGTCTTTTATGAGACACATTGGTCCTACCCGAACCAGTAGCCCGATCGTGTCCAATTTGAATAGGGTTCTGGCACTTACTACAATAAATCATTTGTGAAAATTTGGTGAACATATCTCAGTTAGCTTTTGATTTATCGTTGGGACGGGCGGGCGGACGGACGGACAGACAGACAAATCTAAATCAACTCAGAATTTGATGCTGATCAAAAACATACACTTGAGTCTATATCTAAGACCGTTATTTCTTAGCGTTACAAACGGTAAGTCAAATTTAGTATATCCTTCGAACATACGTTCGTACGGGTATAAAAATGTCAAAGAATTTTCATACATTACGGGTTTTTTAACAACTCATTGTGTAAATATCTGTGGTATATGATTACATAATAATATGGACGGCATTGGCATATTTTATGCTCTTTATCAAGTGATTGATTACTAAAACAAAAGTGTAAAATGGATTGCCACAGATTAATTTTGAACAAAGTTAATATCATATACGTATGATTTGTAAAATAAACTACTCAAAAAAGCCTATAGAATAAAATTTGAATGAGACTTTGAAAAAATAATTTTTTAGGGACAATTTCGATATTATATGATAAATTTATTGATTAGTAATAATTAAAGAATATTAATGTTTGACATTTTAGTCATAGAAGCGTTTCGATTTCGCTTCAGCAGTCATGTGTTCCCGATATTGTATATTAAATTATATGATTCAAATTACGATATATGTAAATAAAAGACAATAAAAATCTTATTTAATCTT